GTGAGTCAAGGGTGGAGGATCCCTGGGCAGGGCAGTGGTGCCATAGGTGTGCAGCTAACATGGCACCTGTGGCCCAGGGTTATTTGCCCAGAAGATGGCTGTTGGGTCCACCCAGGTCACACTCTCAAAGTTGGGCCTCCCTCCAGTGTCTATCCCAGGGCCAGGCCTGGCTGGTTAGATTTGTCCCAAGCCTTCTATGCACAGATTGCTGGGCTGTTCCAGGTGTTCTGGACTGCGGGGCTCCCTCAGGCAGAAGCTGCAGCTGGCCAACAGGCTACGCCCTTCTCAGACCTGCCTTTCAGAGGCAGGGGTGCTCAGCTCCCGTGCCACCACATGAACTGGCACTTCACTCTTCTCAGTGTTCTAAGAGTGGGGTCTCCTCCCTTGCTCAAGCTCAGGCCATAGATTTCAGCTCCATACACCTGGGCAATGTGCTCAAACTCTGTGGGTAGAAGGAAATGGGACCAGGCCCACAGCTTTGCCCTCTGGCCCCTCAGAGTTGAGCACTGGTTGTGCTGGGGGAGAAGGGGGGCAAATTGTTCCAAGGCCACTAGCAAAATATTCAGGAGGGGCAGTGGAGGCTGTGCTGTGTGCACCTTCTTATGGGAGCAGGTAGGCAGGCAGCCTTGGGAGGGGCCAGCAGACAAGCGGGCAGACCCCAGCCCCATGGGCAAGGCAGCTTGGATGTCAGCAGGGGCTACAGTCACTCAGAGAAGTTGGAGAGCTCTGGGGGAATGGGTGCCTATTTTGCTGCAGCCGCCCCGTGTGAACCCTTCTGGGCTCCACTCAGGTTCCCCTCCAACCCCCAGACAGAGTTTCACTCTTGTTGCCCAGGCTGGAGTGCAGTGGTGTGACCTCAGCTCACTGCAACCTTTGCTTTCTGGGTTCAAGTGTGGAATGTCGTTTGGGCTGACTGACGGCGCCATTGACGCTATGGCGACTCCCGTGACCTGCACACACACCTCTGGAGGGCCTTCCAGAGTTAGAAAACCTGAAATAGCTGGAAGATCATGAAAAACAAAAGAATGGTCAACCCCTGCTGCGCCTAAGTAACCTGAGACAGTCTTCTACTGTTTGTTGTTGTGCTAGAGGATGAAGATCTTCTATGTTTCTTATTCCAGCCCAATTTACAAGGCCAGTGGACTTTGTAACCAACCGCGGTCAACTTCGTGACTCCAGACCCTACCACCCCTTCCCAGCTTGCAAAACACCACCCTAAACTGTAACTTTGTAACTTTCCACTGCCCACCCCAAACCTATTAAAAGAAACTCTTATCCCACCGCCCTTCACTGACTCTCTTTTCAGACTCAGCCCACAGGCACCTGGATGAATAAACGGCCATGTTGCTCACACAAAACCTGTTTTGGGGGGGGTCCCTTCATTCAGAGCGTGCGTTTTAACAAAGTGATTCCCCTGCCTCAGCCTCCTGAGTAGGTGGGATTAAAGGTGCCCACGCCTGGCTAATTTTTAAAATATTTTTAGTAGAGACAGGGTTTCACCACGTTGACCAGGCTGGTTTCAAACTCCTGACCTCAAGTGATCCGCCCACCTCGGCCTCCCAAAGTGCTGGGATTACCGGTCTGAGCCACCGCGCCCAGCCCTCCACTCAGGTTTGAGTTCTGGCTCTGCCTACTCTCCAGGCACTTCCCCTTGCCAGTTCAACTGTCTATGACAATCATGATATCTCCTGCGGCTAGGATCCCAGAGGTCTGTGGTGAAAGTGACCACTTTCACCACTTCTTAGGACCTTTTCACTACTGGGAGCCAGTCGTGGTAGTCAGTGACTCCGTGCTGGCTTTCCAGCTTCGCCTCTTTATTGACTTTTAGTGTTTTCTCTTAAAAAGATCTGTTCAAAGTGTGTGATGATTCACTTGATATTTAGTTTCTCTCAGTGGGAGAGGCATTACCTGGCTGCATCTAGTTGGCCATCTTGTGCTCCCTGAGCATTTCTCATCAGCACACAGATGGTTCTTAGATCCATAGGTGCCTGTGCGATTGCTTAGGAAAAATGATTAGACAAAAATAGAAGATGAAAAAATGAAGAGAATTAGGAGAAATCTCTGAAGACTTTTCAGTTAATGATTGGCTATTGTAAATGTTTCTGGCAAAATGGTAGGAACTTGTTATGAAAGAAGTTAAGGCCAGATGTTCAAAATGGGAGTGACAAACTCTGTGTCAAATGCCGATGAGGGGTCAATGAGATGAGGAACTAAAAAGTGGCAGTTCAGTTTAGCAACCTGTTGGTCATTGATGATTGTAACAAGAGCACGTTTAGTGTACCTGGATGCCCAAATCACAGTGAAGTGGGTTGAGGAGCATAATAATAATGTGGAAATGCGGAGAGTGCCACATATAAGACTTAAAACACGTAAGCATGTTTCAATACTCGTGAGATGGGGCCAGCAGAGAGAGAAAGGTGGAAATGACAGAAATACAAGTGAATAATCAATACTTCAAGATTCTGGGAATGTAGGAAGGACAGAGTAAGTACCGGTGGTGGGTGAGTGTTAGGTAAGAGGAGGGAAGTAGGAGAAATTGAGTCTGGTTTGTAGATTTACTGGTGGAAAGTTGAGATTGTTTGCAACTGAGAGTTTCTATTTTCTCTGTGAAGGATGAGGCAAGATCATATGCTGAGTTTTGAGGGGAGAGATGGTGAATGGTGAAGGGAATTTATAAGAGGATCAGGATAAGCTCACCAGTCAGTTTGGAGTGTCCGTTTGACATTCATTACTGTTTATCTAGAGTGGTAACAGTCTGCCTCATGATGCAGCATTCTCCAGTTGTGCTTGGCAGCCAAGTGCAGGCAAGGAGAAAACACAGTCATCTGTGGTTTGGATTTGTTCTGTTGGGTGCAAAGAAAAGTCAATGCCGTGGGGAGACAGAGCAAGATGGCCAAATAAAACCCCCCAGAAATGATCTGTGAAAGAAAAATGTCTTGGGCCCCCCAAGTCGCTGAGGAGAACTCAAGCTGGAAACCGCAGAGGGCAAACCTGCCTCCCATTCTATTCAAAGTTATCCCTCAGCTCACTGAGATAGATGCGTATCTGATTGCCTTCTTTGGAAAGGCTAATCAGAAACTCAGAAGAATGCAATTGTTTGTGTCTCACCTATCTGTGACCTAGAAGCTCCCTTCCTGCCTTTGCTTCAAGTTGTCCTGCCTTTCCAGACCAAACCAGTGTTCATCTTACACATATGGATTGATGTCTTATGTTTCCCTAAAATGTATAAAACCAAGCTGTGCCCTGACCGCCTTGGGTACATGTCCTCAGGACTCCCTGGGGCTGTGTCACGGGTGCATCTTCAACCTTGGCAAAATAAACATTCTAAATTCACTGAGACCTGTCTCAGATTTTCTGGATTCACACATCCCACCTGCAGGAGCACCAAATTGAACAACTATCCACACAAGAAAGTACTTTCATAAGAACCAAAAATCAGGCGAGTGGTCACAGTACCTGGTTTTAACATCATATCAAGAAAAGAGGCACTGAAGAGGGTGGGAAAGACAGTCTTAAATTGCCCACACCACCCCTCCTCCAACACCAGCAGTGGCTGCAAGGAGTGGAGAGAGAATCTGTGTGCTTAGGGGTGGGAGAGCAACATGATTGTGAAAGTTTGCATTGGAACGCAGTGCCGCCCTGTCACATGGAAAGCATCATGGAGCAGAATTCAGCTGGTGCCCATAGAGGGAGTACTTAGAGCAGCCTCAGCCAGGAGGAAGTCATCCGTCCCAGCGGTCAGAACCTGAGTTCTGGCTAGCCCCACCACTGCAGGTTAAAATGCTCTGGGGTGCTAACTTGAAAGACAGTCTAAGCTAGAAGAATGGCAGTTCTTGAGCACATCCCAGTGCTGTGCTGGGCTCAGCAGTCTTGGGGTACACATGACCTAGTGAGACACCAGCCTGGGCAGCCAAGGGGGTGCTTGTGTCACCCTTTCCGCAGCACAGGCAGTGCAGCTCGTAGGTCTGGGAGAGCCTCCTTCCTTCTGCTTGAGGAGAAGAGAGGGGAGGGAAGAGCAAAGGGGACTCAGTTTCGCAACTTGGATACCAGCTCAGCCACATGAAATAGGGCATCAGGCAGAGTCCTGAGGCTCCCATTCCAGGACCTAGCTCCCATCTCTAGACACACCCTGGGCCAGAAAGGAACCTGCTGCCTTCAAGAGAAGGGCCTATTCTGATGGGATTCTTTACCTGCTGACTAAGGAGCCCTTGGGCCTTGAATAGACCTCAGTGATAGCTAGGTGGCATTCACTGTGGGCCTTGGGGGAGACTCAGTGCCATGCTGGCTTCAAGTGAGACCCAGCACATTCCCAGCTGTGATGGCTATGGGGAGAGACTCCTGCTTGAGGAAAGGAAGGGGGAAAGTAGAGGGGGCTCTGTCTTGCAGTTTGGGTATCAACTTAGCTACAGTGTGGCAGAGCACCAGGTGAGCTCCTGGGGACTTGATTATAGGCCGTGGCTCCTGAATGGCGCTTCTGGACCTGCCCTTGGCCAGAAGGGAGCCCACTGCCCTGCAGGGAGAGTCCCAGGCCTGGCAGCATTCATCACAAGCTGGCTGGAGAGCCCTTGGGTCTTGAGTGAACATTGGTGGTAGCCAGGTAGTACTTGCCATGGGCCTGGGGTGCTGGTGGCCACGGGGAGACACTTATTCTGTTTGAGGAAAGGAGAGGGAAAAGTGGGAAGGACTTTGTCTTATGGTTTGGGGGCCAGCTGCAGTAGAATAGAGTGCCGAGTATATTCCTAAGGTTCCTGACTCCAGGCACTGGCTCCTGGGTGGGCTGCTCTGGGCTAGCGCGGGAGATTGCCCCCCAGAAAGGAAGGACACAACCTGTCTGGATTCACCACCTGCTGATTGTAGAGCCCCCGGCCCTTGAATAAACGTTGATGGTAGCCAGACAGTGGTCACTGTGGGCCTTGGGCAAGCCTCAGTGCTGTGTTGGCTTTGGGACTGACCCAGTGCAGTCCCAGTGGTGGTGGCCACAGGGGTTCTTGAGGCACCACTCCCCCAGCTCAGGCAGCTCAGCACAGACAGAGAGACTCCATTTGTTTGGGGGAAAGTAAGGGAAGAGAACAAGAGCCTGCCTGGTAATCTAGGGAATTCTCCAGAATCTTACTCAAGACTACCAATATCTCCATGAATCTGTAAGAATCACAGTGCTACTGGGCTTCTTCTAATGCAGATACAGCTGCAGTGATAAAAGACTTATCACAACACTCAATTCCCTTAAGTACTTGGAAAGTCTTCCCAAGAGGGGCGGATACAGACAAGCCCAAACTCCGAAGACTATAATAAATACCTAACTCTTCAATGCCCAGACATCCACAAGCATCAAGACCATCCAGGAAATCATGACCTCACCAAATAAGGCACCAGTGACTAATCCCGAAGTGACAAAGATACGTAACCTTTCAGAGAATATAAAACAGCTATTTTGAGGAAGGTCAACGAAATTCAAAATAACACAGAGAAGAAATTTAGAATTCTATCAGATAAATTTAACAAAGAGATTAAAAGAATTTAAAATAAGCAGAAATTCTGGACCTGAAAAATCTAATTGACATAGTGAAGAATGCATCAGTCTCTCAACAGCAGAATTGATCAAGGAGAAGAAAGAATCAGTGAGCTTGAAGACAAGCTCTTTGAAAACACATGGTCAGAGGAGACCAAAGTAAAAATAATAAAAAATAATGAAGCACAGCAAAAGGATTTAGAGAATTGACTCAACAAAGCAAAAAAGCAAATTGACTGGGAGCGGTAGCTTGTGCCTGTGATCTCAGTACTTCAGGAGGCCAAGGCAGGCAGTATTTTCAAATTCAGGAGTTTGAGACCAGCCTGGGCAACAGGGTGAAACCCCTGTCGCTACCAAAAATACGAAAATTAGTCGGGTGTGGTGGCATGTACCTGTGGTCTCAGCTTCTCAGGAGGTTGGGGTGGGAGGCTGGTTTGAGCCCAGGAGGTGAAGATTGCATGAGTCGAGATTGCACCACCACGCTCTAGCCTGGCAAAAAAGGGGGGGGGACAAATTTATGAGTTATTGGCAAGAGAAAAGAAACAAATGACTTACAAAGGAGCTCCAATACATCTGGCAGCAAACCCCTCAGTGGAAACCTTAGAGGCCAGGAAAGAGTGGCATGACATATTTAAAGTGCTGAAGGAAAAACAAACAAACAACAACAACACAAAAACCTTTTATCCTAGAATAGTATGTCCAGTGAAAATATCCTTCAAACATAAAAGAGAAATACTTCCCCAGACAAACAAAAGCTGAGAGATTGCATCAACACCAGACCTGTTCTACAAGAAATGCTAAAAGAAGTTCTTCAATCTGGAAGAAAAGAAAGTTAATGAGTAAGAAGAAATCATCGTAAGGTACAAAACTCACGGCTAATAGTAAATACACAGACAAATATAGAATATTATTAACCAACATAGAATAATATAACACGGTAACTGTGGTGTGTAAACTACTCATATTTTGAGTAGAGAGACTAAAAGATGAACCAATCAAAATAATAACTACAACTTTTCAAGACATCGACAATATAATAAGAGATAAATAAAAACAACATTAAAAAATGGGGTGATGAAGTTAAAGTGTAGAGTTTTAGTAGTTTTCTCTTTGCTTGTTTGTTAATTTTTTGGTTTGCTTTTGTGATCAGTGTTAAGTACTCATTAGTTTAAAATAATGAGTTATTGGCTGGGCAGGGCGGCTCACACCTGTAATCCCAGCATTTTGGGGGCCTGGGGTCGGTGGATTCCTTCAGGCCAGGAGTTTGAGACCAGCCTGGCCAACATGGTGAAAGCCCATCTCTACTAAAAATACAAAAATTAGCCAGGCTTGGTGGTATGTGCCTGTAATCTTGGTTACTCAGGAGGCTGAGGCAGGAGAATCACTTGAACCTGGGAGGCAGAGATTGCAGTGAGCTGGGATCACACCACTGCACTCTAGCCTGGGTGACAGAGCAAGACTTCATCTCAAAAATAATAATAATAAAATAATAAATTGTAAGATGTTATTTGCAAGCCTCAAGGTAACTTCAAACAATCTATAAGAGATACACAAAAAGTAAAAAGCAAGAAATTAAAACATACCACCAGAGAAAATCACCTTCACAAAAAGGAAGACAAGAAGGAAAGAAAGAAGGAAGAGAAACCACAAAGAACAAAATGTCAGAAAACAAATAACAAAATGCCCGGAGTGTGTTCTGCTTATCAATAACAACCCTAAATGAAAATGAGCTAAACTTGCCGATCAAAACATACAGAGTGGCTGAATGAATAAAAAGACAAGACCCGAAGATCTGTTGCCTATAAGAAATACACTTCACCTATAAAGACACACGAAGACTGAAAATAAAGTGATGGAAATTGAGCTACCATATGATTTAGCAATCCCACTGCTAAGTATATGCCCAAAAGAAAGGAAATCATTATATCCAAGAAATATTTGCACTCCTGCGTTTATTCAAGCTCTAGTCACAATAGGCAAGATTTGGAAGCAATCTTAGTGTCCATCAACAGATGAATGGATAGCGAAAATGTGGCACATACACACAACGGAGTACTACTCAACCGTAAAACAGAATGAGCCATAAAAAGGAATGTTGTTTTAGTCATACACAAGAATGCATGGACTCGAGGTCATTATGTTACGTAAAACAAGCCAGGCACAGAAAGACAAACTTCACATGTTCTCACTTATTGATGAAAGCTAAAAATGAAAACAATTGAACTCATGGAGATAAAGAGTAGAATGATGGTTACCAGAGGCTGGAAAGCATAGTGGCAGGGGGTAAGTGGGAATGGTTAATGGATACAAAAAAAATAGAAAGAATAAAGGGCAGTCTTTTGTTTTTTGGACAGAGTTTTGCTCTTTTGCCCAGACTGTGGCACAACCTTAGCTCATTGCAACCTCCGCCCCACAGGTTCAAGCGATTCTCCTGCCTCAGCCTCCCGAGTAGCTGGGATTATAGGTTCCTGCCACCACGCCCAGCTAATTTTTGTATTTTTAGTAGAGATGGGGTTTTGTCATGTTGGCCAGGCTAGTCTCGAACTCCTGACCTTAGGTGATCCACCCACCTTGGCCTCCCAAGGTGCTGGTATTATAGGCATGAGCCACCGATAGCACAACAGGGTGACTACTGTCAACAATAATAATTTATTGTGCATTTAAACATAACTAAAAGTATATAATTGGATTGCTTGTAACACAAAGGGTAAATGCTTGTGGTGATGGATATCCCATTTACCTGGATGTCATTATTACACATTGTATGACTGTATCAAAATATCTCATGTATCCATAAATATATACACCTATTTCTTTTTTCTTTCTTTCTTTGTTTTTTTTTTTTTTAGAGATGGGGTCTCGCTATGTTGCCCAGGCTGGAGTGCAGTGTCTATTCACAGGCGCAATCCCATTACTGATCAGCACTGGAGTTTTGACCTGCTCCGTTTCCGACCTGGGCTGGTTCACCCCTCCTTAGGCAACCTGGTGGTCCCCCGCTCCCGGGATGTCACCATATTGATGCCAAACTTAGTGTGGACACCCGATTGGCATAGCACACTACAGCCCAGAACTCCTGGGCTCAAGAGATCCTCCAGCCTCAGCCTCCCGAGTAGCTGGGACTACAGGCACGAGCCACCGCGCCTGGCAGATATATACACCTATTATGTACCACAAAAAAATTAAAATTAAAAAAAGAGAAAAATCACACAAAAAATAACAAAGATAGGCACAGAAAAACAAACTTTGCATGCTCTTACTTGTCTGTGGGAACGTAAAACAGCTGAACACATGGAAATAAAGAGTAGAACAATGACTACCGGGGCTGGGAAGGGCAGTGGTGGGGTGGGGTGTGCTGTTGGTTAATGGGTCAAAAATATAGTTAGGTAGACTGAGTAAGATCTAGTATTTGAGAGCACAACAGGGTGACTACAGGCAACAATAATTTGTAGCGCATTTTAAACAAGTAAAAGAGTATAATCGGAATGTTTGTAACACAAAGAAAGGATAAATGTTTGAGATGATTTACTCTGATGTGATTATTATGCATTGTATGCCTGTATCAAAACAAAACATCTCATGTACCCCATAATACATTCATTTACTCTGTAGTAGAAACATTAAAGATAATTTTTTTTTTTTTTTTTTTTTTTTAGAGATGGGGTTTCAGCCTGTTGGCCAGGCTGGTCTCGAGCTGCTGACCTCAGGTGATCTGCCCACTTCTGCCCCCAAAATGCTGGGATTACAGGCGTCAACCACCGTGCCCAGCCAAAGATAAAAAGTTTTAAGGAGGAAAAGAAATTAGGGCTATTTACAAGGCATTCATTGAAAACATGAACCATGGATTCTCAGTGGATGGGGAAAAGATTGACACAGCAGAGAGACAAAGAAAGGTAGAAAGATGAGTTGGTTCGTCTAGCAATCTTGACGAAGCCTAAGAAGGGATGAAGTGAAGGCAGTGATGTATCAGGCTGTAAGGAGAGAAGGCTTCAGTCCTACCAGGATATTTAAATAGGAAGTTTCTGAGGTAGAGAAGTTTCACGTTCTGATAAAACCCAGTATGTAACTAGGCATAGGTGACAGAGATGAGTGTAGAAAAAGGACATTAGAGATGAGGTTATGGAAAGGAGAGACAAATTGTTGGATAGGATGAATATCGAATTAATCTAGAATGATGGCAGGAGTTGAGATGAAGAGAGCTGTTAGCCAAGTGTCAAGGTTATAAATGTATGAAGAGGTATATTATAGGTTGTAGGTGACAGTGATGAAGAGTGGTAGAGCCAAATGGCCAGAGCCTCAAAGGAAGATGATCCTCTTCATAGTAGAAAGGGAGTATTTGGCCGGGCGTGGTGGCTCACGCCTGTAATCCAAGCACTTTGCAGGCCAAGGCGGGCGGATCACCTGAGGTCGGGAGTTCAAGACCAGCCTGACCAACATGGTGAAACCCCGTCTTAAAAAAAAATAAAATAAATAAATAAATAAATAAAAGAAAGGGAGTATTGGTTGGCAGTAGCATTGTGGAGTCATGACACCATCTTTTTGTTTCCACCCTGACATATAAGGTAAGAATGAGCAGCCTCGGCCGGGTGTGGTGGCTCACACCAGTAATCCCAGCACTTTGGGAGGCTGAGATGGGCAGATCACCTAGGGTCAGGAGTTCAAGACCAGCCTGGCCAACATGGTGAAGCCCTGTCTCTACTAAAAATACAAAATTAGCCGGGCATGGTGGCAGGCACCTGTAATCTCTGCTACTTGGGAGGCTGAGGCAGGAGAATTGCTTGAACCCAGGAGGGAGAGGCTGCAGTGAGCCGAGATCATGCCACTGCACACCAGCCTGGGCAACAGAGCGAGACTCCGTCTCAACAACAGCAACAAAGAATGAACAGCCTCACTGTAGAGGGCTTCAGGAGAAGTAGGGTGATTGAAGATTGATAGGGTTGAGTTAAGGCAGGAAGAGCAAGTAACTTCCAGAGAAATTGAGAACGTAAAGGAGTTGTGCATCACAGAGCAGGAGTTTCAGGGAGTTTGTTGTACAGATCTGAGAGAGGAAGGTGAAGGTGTGGAGTGTAGTACATGAAGGGAGAGGAGGTCAAAGCATTAGGGAGAGAGGAAAAACAACAAAATGCATTGATCTGGGCAGTGACTAGGGAAAGTAGGGATTGGAGGCAGGATAGAACTAGCTGGGTCACCAGGATGTCAAGGTAGTAAGTCCTGTCCATAGGATAATGGACACTAACACTCAGAGTTCTGTTGCAGACTGGTGGATAGACTCCCAAGTCAGCACAATGGACCATATATTTCTGGCTCCAGAAACAAGGACCCTCACACTGTAAAGGTAGATGCAGTGGTGCTGCCTAAGTGCTCAGGGATCGCGGGGTCTGTGGGATTGGAGAGGCTGCTGTACAGTCAGGTAGGTGCCTAATTGGTGGAGAGTAGTGGGGCTGGGAATGGAGATCGTTGTTGACAAGTGCATGGCTCTGGAAGTTGGGTGCGGGGTTGGTGATGGAAATGTTTAAAGAAGTAACTTTAGGTTCAGAGAGTTTAAAGGATTTACCAAGGACACAGCTGGTAAGTGGCAGAGCTGAAACTCAAAATCCGATCTCTGCTTATGAATCTGTAATTATTTCAAAATAAAAAGGTTTTTGTAAAGGTTAAAAGAATCAGAGCTATGTAGTTCTAAACCATTATGCTGACTTTTCAGACAGAAAAGAATGCCACAAAAGAACAAATATCAAACTGCCTTCAGTGGTTTCATTCCCAAATCTGAATGCTAGAAGATAGTGAAACAATTTCTAACATTGGCATATGGACGGCAGAGTCCTTCAAAATAAAAATTGACAGGCCACCAACAAGGAAAACCCCCAAGCCTTGAGAACAGGGGCTTGTATATGACTTGACCCAGCATCGCAGGGAGTCTTTGCTCCTCTGGAAACCCCAGTGTTCAGGAGAAATATGCCAGCCCCAGCCAGAGGTGAGCTGTTGCAGTCATACCATCCCCTGGGGTCAGTCATCTCCAGTGATCCTCCTGGGACTGTCCCTGGAGGACAAGACAAGGAAAATCTGCCAGGAGGAAGAACCTAGGGAATCCATATTTGCTGACAAACGAATTGTTTCTCTTCTAAGGATGTAATCCAACAATTGATGACCATGAATTCACTGTCCTGTCACTTATGTGTCCTGCAGGATGTAATCAATCCACTGACCAGGTGATGCTGAACTAAGGTTTCTCTCTCTCTGTCTGTCTCTCCTCCTCCTCCCCCATAACCCTTTCCCTCCCTTCTTCTTTTTTAAATTGGAATTTTGTTGCGGTTGCACTATTTTTCTTCCACCATTTTGATGGGCCAATCTTCGGAGTTTATCTCCCAGGGATTTCATTTATTTTGGTATAATTTGTATGGTATTAAGATGGTATGATTATCAGAAGACCCAAGGAGATTAGCATCTTTCCCTGGACAACTGTCCTCACGCTCTATAAAATTCTAAATGGAGAGATACGTGCAAGGGAAATGACAAATGAAAAATAAGATATACTTCCAAATGCCTTCCAGCTCGAGAGCATCTGCTCCTGTAATGACAGCGTCTCAGTCCTACCTCAAAGTGTCCTATGGTTATTTCTCCTTTTAAAGCCATCTCTCATGACCCCCTCCGGGTCACTGTCTCCCCAAATGTTAGCCAGTACCCTAGACTCTTAATATTTTAAATAAATTTTACCTGTTTTTGAAATTTATATTTGTGTGATGCATCCTAGTTTTGTCGACAATAGATCATTTATTGTCATTGTTACAGTTTTCCATCTTGCAATACAATTTTTTTTGTTAAAAAGACATTTTTCAATGTAATGGGGCTTTAAAAAGTCATTTAGATGGGACAGAAAGTACCGGTAGTTGCTGATTTGATAAAGCAACATTACAAGCAATTATTTAAATTCTTTAGCAACACAGAAATGTCAATTGCAACATTATTACCAGGTCAAAAAATTATCAAGCAAGACAACCAATCAGAATTACAGGTTTCTTTTGGAGGCTATTTTCGCAGGACGTGGCAACAATTTCTCAAAGTTTTTTGGCGTCTTATAAGATCCTGTTGTGCAAATGATACTTCCAAGGCCAGATTCTTATGAAGAAAGAATGTATCAATTGATAACAACTACTGAAAACACAGAAACCTCTATTTTGTACAGAGGAAAAAAATACATCTTTGTGAAAGTTTTAAACCTAAAATTTTAGCAAGTCAGATATTTAAAATTGTTTGGGATAAAGAACAGTGACTCTTTATAGCTACAGAAAAAAGGAGACAACTGCTTCGTTTGTTTCTGAGACTCTTTTTTAAAAATAATCTTTGTATTACAAAATAAGACATAGAAACAGAAAACCACATGGATCAAATGTATGACTTAATGAATTATTAAAAGGCGAAAAGTACCCAGGTATGAAATAGAACTTTGCCAGTCACCCCGGAAGCCCCTTCTATGTGCCACATCCCAATCATAGTCCCCACTACCCATAAAAAGTAACTACTATCCTGGTTTCTATACCAACTAATTTCTTGTAAGTTTACTGTAGTTTTTTCATCCCAATGT